ACTTCTTTATCTCAGTCTTGCTTGGGAATACTGTGGTTCCTAATCTAAGGATTTATGTCTTTCCTGAGGTTTTGAAAATTCTCAGCCATTATATTGTTGAGTATTGCTTCTCTCATCTCTCTAGTTCATCTTTCTGAAAGTCCAATTAGATGACTGATATCCCATGTCATTCTGTCTCCCACAGATGCTAACCACTTTGTCTCAGGGCTACATTCTGTAATTTCTTCAGTTCTCCATTCCAGTTCACTAATTCTTACATTCTTTTTTCTTTTCTTTTTTTTTTTTTTTTTTGAGTTGGAGTCTCACTCCTTCACCCAGGCTGAAGTGCAGTGGCAAGCATGCTTATGGCCACCCCAGCAGCATTGACCTTCTGGGCTCCAGGAATCTTTCTGCCTCAGCCAGTCTGTAGCCCAGAACTACAGACGCACACTATCACGCCTGGCTATTTTTTATTTTATTATAGAAACGAGGTCTCACCAAGTTGCCCCGGATGGTTTCGAACCGACGGGCTCAAGCAATGCACTCACCTTGGCCTCCCAAAGTGCTGGGATTACAGGCTAAGCAACCGAGCCCGGCATTTTCTTTTCTTTTTTTTTGAGTCATTGTCTCACTCTATCACCCAGACTGGAGTGTTGTGGCACTATCATGGCTCACTGCAGCCTTGAGCTCCTGACCTCAAACAATCCTCCTTCCTCAATCACCTGAGTAGCTGGAACTACAGGCTTATGCCATCATGTCATGCTAATTTCTTTTTCTGTTTTTCTCCTCCCCACCTTTTTGTAGAGACACAGTCTTGCAATCCTCCAGCCTGGGCCTCCCAAAGTACTGAGATTACAGGTGTGATCCACCATCCCCAGCCCACTGATTATTTCTTTAGCCATATTTAATCAGTTCTTTAATCGGTCTATTGTGTTTTAACTTTAAAGTTCTGTTTGGGCCGGGCTCGGTGGCTCAACCTGTAATCCCAGCACTTTGGGAGGCTGAAGTGAGTGGATTGCCTGAGTCCGCAGGTTCGAGACCCGCCTGGGCAACTTGACGAGACCTCATCTCTACAACAAATCAAAAATTAGCCGGGCGTGGTTGCGCGCATCTGTAGTTCCAGCTACTTGGAAGGCTGAGGCAGAAGGATTGCCGGAGCCCAGCAGGTTGAAGCTGCGGTGACCAGGAGCGGCCATTGCACTCCAGTCTGGGTGACAGAATGAGACTTCAACTCAAAAAAAAAAAAAAAAAA